TCAGTTAAGCCCCAAATTTCCTTAATACAGTTGAAATTTTCTTTTAACTATAATTAAAATATTCTTTTAATATATCTCTATATTGAGATAACACTGAAGCAGAAGGTATCCATAAGTCAAGGCATGCTTGAAATTTGCCCAAGAATACACAGCCTTCAACAAGTCTGACATCTCTACAATTTCTTTTAGCACAAGACTAGCTATTAATGACTTTTTCATATTATTTTCTTCCATGTAGTTTCTGTTTTGTTTTGTTGGATTGAGATGCCAGACGTTTGATGTAGTGCAAGCTGGCCGACAACCAGGGATCATCCTGCCTCAGCCTCCCAAGTGTTAAGACTGTAGGCCTGTTGCCTGATTCTGCAACTTTTCCCGAAGTAATACAAATGAGAACTCTGTTTCCTAGCCTCAAACCAACAAGAAAAAAGGTAATGGTTCCAGAAAAAACAAGGTAATGATTCTAAGCTCAAGACAAGAGCATTTGTTTGCAGATGAGACCAGTTTGAAGATAGTGCCTCTGAAGACAAAAACCTAAAAATCCACCAATGGCTCATAAGACTCCAGAGCGAAGCTAGATACAGAAATATACTGTGCCCAATCACAATATATAACATGGCCAACAGGCCTGCTGCTGGGCTCCACTTACACAATCAAGAGCCTGATATCCAAAATCAAGGCAGGCATTATTTCAGTATCGCCCAACATACCATAATGTTCATGTCCCTAAAGAAGGATATCATATTTCCTCCAAATAACTAAACCTCTATGTGACACAAAGATTTATTATCACATAGAACTATGAATCAATCACATAAATTCTAGCAGAAAACGCAATGATTTTCATAAAATGTGGATGAGGTGAAGTGACCGAGAAAAGTTTAGAATCATCTACGCAGATTCAACTCAAAGCTTAAACCGCAAGTATTAGAAATGCTTTGTCAATATTAATGCAGGCATGCCAAGTCAAAGTTAGCAGCCTCAGGCTAGTGCCTGAGAAGTTTCCAAGAACATTGCACTGAGGGAGTGCATTCAGAAAATGAAAAGACAGAAGGTCAGGTTTCAGATAGACAAACTGAATCTGACTTTATTTACCAATTTCAAGAATGTTATCACTAAGGCTAAATGTTGACACACTAAAGACTGCACACAAATACTCAAGCCTGCACTCGTGCATACACACATAGGAACAAAATAAAACATTATATATTTAGCTTATATATAATGTATACATATAACTTAACAGAATTAACTACGAATCACATCATTTTTGGCATAAAGGACAGAAGTAGTCATTATGTGCTAAAGACCCAGCACTGAGTAGCCCCAATTATTCTCCCTTTATGATATTTGTTTTTGGTTACCAAATAATCAGGTAAGCATCCTCCCATGACACTCACAATAAAGTTAATAATAAGTTGACTGCCAGATATAGAAATATAAACTATTGAGCTGGCCATAAGTAAATATCCAAACTAAATAAAATGTTAAATGTTAAATAACCAAGACCAAACATTCTCAACTACACTAATTATTACAACTTCCCTGCCCCCACCCAGGGTGTGTGTGTATGTGTGTATGTGTGTGTGTGTGTGTGTATGTGTGTGCATACCCTCCCCTCTCTGTCTCTCTCTTTCTTGACTCACTGTCAGCTGAGCAGATCCATGTACTCTTACTTAAGCAGCAATAATGACCTGGCTGGGAACAAGGTCTTTACAAGTCTGACTTGTGATCCTCATTTATAATCTCAGGTAAAAAGAGCCTTCACTTAGAAACCCTAGCAAATAAAGTTAACTCTAAAGCAGAAAAAATACCCTCCACCCCACTGAGAAGGCTGGAAACAAAATATATACTACATTTTATCTCTGAAATATACTCCAAATATTTTATTATCATTTTTTTAAGTTATAGAGTACTCAGAAGGCATCACTCCAGCCCTGAGTTCTGTATTTAAATAATAACAACCATTCTTCAACTTGAGACTTTGCCTTGATTCCCATACACACACACACACACACACACACACACACAATGCTACCCTAAATTTTCTCTGTAGTACAGTCACTGGTGAATATTTTTTTTTCTCTTTCATTTGATTCTTTAAAACTGTGTCTTACTCTGTAGCAAGCCCAAGTTGGCTTCAAATTCTCTATTCTCTTGCCTCAGGATCCCCATTCCTCAGCCTGGAAAGTATAGCAATTACAGCCAGGCATAGTGGTGCACACTGTTGATCCCAGCATTCAGGAGGCAGAGGCAGGCAGATCTGAGTTCAAGGCTATCCTGATCTACAGAGAGTTTCTAGACAGCCAAAGCTACACAGAGAAACCTTCTGGTGGTTTCAAAGCACCAGAAATTTTAAAGAACGGAAGGAAGAAAGGAAGGAAGGAAGGGAGGGAGGAAAGAAGGAAGGAAAGAAAGAAGGAAGGGAGGGAAAGTATAACAATTGCAGAGAGAACAGAGAGCTAATACATACTATTTTAAAATTCCATTCAGAGCATACTCTTTCTTTGGCATATAGTTTCAAGTCTTAAAAATGTGCAAGCCCTCAGAGCCCCTTAAAATTATCTTTATGTCTTAAGGATCAGTAGAATTAAAAGTCATTATTTGTGTGTGTGTGTGTGTGTGTGTGTGTGCACACATGCTCACACTCACAAGTGTGCATGCAGGCAAAACAGGAAATCTAAAGTAATAAAAAGCCTAGATTTTGAATACTTCTTTGTAATAAAATTTCCAAAAACCATTTGAAATATTAAAATGAGTCATTTTTATACATGATAACAAATATTATAGAGTTATTCATTAGGCAGTCTCTGGGTGTCCTCTGTATAATCTCCCCTTATGGTTGATTTGTATACATTCTTTCTTATATTAATGTTCTAAACTTACCTTTAGGGCATTTTCGGAGGCAGCAGAAATCTGAGCACGTGACCTAGGTGCTACATTTCAATCTAGTAAATTCTCTGTAAGGGTTTTAAAATGAGAAAACAAGAATGACCACTGCCAAAAGCAAGCAGCAGATAGCTAAACAGACCAAAACAATACTTTGTTTTAAAATTCCTGACTGTGCCACCATTGTCAAGGAGATACATTGTAAATTTTTATAAGTTCACCTAAAACACCAGAGCTATAACAAATACTATGTAACACTTTATAACAACTCCAGTGTCCATCCATTTTGTCCCACACAAACACACACACACACAAAAACTCATAGTAAACTATATGCTTTGTTTCAGGGGCTAATATTACTTTTATGCAGTTCCTATACTGTTCCCATCCTTAAGCTACACACATTCACTTATTCCAGGAAACCCAAATCCAATTGTTCTCTTTAAAACCCCTAAGTTTCAGTCCTCCAGTTCACCTTCTTTTACTAAGCCATTATCAGTTAGGTAACTCTGAAGCTTTCCTGATGGAGGCAGAGAGAGAGGAAAAAAAACTGTACATGGGCAAAACAGTAAATTGTGGTTTAATTAAAAGCAGCATCATTCAGAATTAACAAGCAATTAACATGGAATTGAAGAATTCCTATGAGAGTAAGGAAGGCAGGGAACTACAAAAAGGTCTCCAAGCCTCAAAGCAGAGTAAATGACACAGTATACCAAAAGATAATGCAAAGCATGGAAACACTCTGACCGGGTCCCAGAAGACGGTTTCTGGGGTAGAGAAGTTATTGAGGTGTTAACGATCAGGCATGGGCAGTGCTTCTGTTTTTGCTAGGAAACTAGGATCTAAGAAAGCTTGCATTCCCAGGCAACCACCCTGAAAATAAAGCATTACTTAATGAGGTAGGGGCCTGGAGTAAACAATGGGGGAAGGGAGATCTGGCTATTTACCTTTAGAGAGGATGCTGGTCCAAAGCACTGTGTTTATTGCTCCTCTGGTGGGTGGCCAGACCCCTTCTGCTTGCGAGTGCCCTCCAGCCAGCTCAAACCTGGAAAACAGAAACCAATCAGTGGTGCAGTGATCCAGGGGCGAGGAGAGGGCTCTGAGGATGGGGCAGCTAAGGAAAGGCTAGAGGGTGGCAAGGGCAAGCAGGCTAGAGCAGGGCTTCTCCCCCAACCCCCACCCACCCACCCAGCCCCTTCCCCTCGAGAGAGGAAGAAACTGACTTTACCTGTCTCCTCAGCTGCAGCTCCTCTCTCTCCTTTCAGCCTCCTCCACATTCACCAACTTCTCCATTGAAGAAACACCCCAGGCAGGGCCGGACACCGTGTTCCTGATCCTCCTCGGTGCTTCACGGCCCCAGCCCGGAGAGCATCCAGATAGTCGATCAGGCTAAGGGTGGCGGTCTTGGCCTCGGAGCAGCCTCCGGGAAGGGGTGCTGGGAGGAAGTGCCGGCTCGGAGGGGTGGGGGGGCAGTCCCGGTCCAGGGGCTCAGACCAAGGGTCTGCCGCGCGCCGGGCCGGAGGCTTTCAGCTACCGAGGGACTCAAGAGGTCTGGGGACAGAGAGACCCCAAGTCGTGCCAGGTCCGAAGTGTCAGCAGCAGGGTGTCCCGACAGGGGGCTTTCGGGATGCACTTTGCACTGGGCCACCCCCGCCCCCTCCTTCCAGCACTTTGGGGTCACTGGGATGGGACCAAGCCTTCGACAACCAATCAGCTGCGGCACTGGAGCCTGCGCTCCAAGCCGTAAACCAGATCCGCGGTGGGTGGGGGTTGGGGTAGGGGGTGGGGGCGACTTGGTTGGTTGGTTGCTTCCTTCTCCTCACCCAGAGGCCCCCACCCCCTGGCTGTCGTAAAGCTGCCCGCGGATTCGCGACAGTTAGAGGAGGCGGGCTCGTAGGGGCTGGGACTCGTCTCCGATTGGTCACTCTCACTTCGTCCCTCCGCTTCCCCGCGGCGGTTTTCGATGCTCCACCCCCGGCCTGGAGACTCGAAGCGGTTGCTAAGAGACACTGTACTACGAATCGGGCTTCTACGCCTGCTGAGGGAGGGGCCGGCGAGGCCTTCCGTGGAGTACGGTGGCCCGTAGTGGGCAGCTGTGGACGCAAGTAGCCGGGTGATGACTGCGTGGCCCGGCCGGATGGCAGCCAGGTAACTACGAGGCCAGGTGGAGCTGGGTGGCTGAAGCGACATGTGAGTAGCAGGCTGAGCAACAGGCGAGGCGACAGGGCGGAGGGCAGGCGAGGAGGGCCCCTACTTGCCGCCGTTCCGTGGGGCTTCTTGGAAGCGAGTGGCGGATGTTTGGTGCATCTGTCGGTCTCTGAGACCCGGTTAGTTCCAGGCTGCCTGCGACTCGCCCAGCCTGAGAGAGACCACGCTCTTTGGGATCGTGAGGCGGGTTCAAGGGCTTTCCTGCGAGGATAGCGACCCTCGCGGTTTCTTGTGAATGAAAAGAGCCGGGGGGGGTGGGGAAAGGCAAAGTGGGCACATTGATACATTGTTTAAATACATTGATTCCTTTAGCAAGTGTTTACTGGGTTGACACTACTCTAGTTGTTGGGGAGAGTTTGTGAACTTTTTTTTTTTTTTTTTTTTTTTGCTTTTATCTTAACAAGAGAGGATGAAACTGCAAAAATGATTAGGGAAAAAAAAACCCACAAAGTAATGGAATACAGTTTGACTAGGATCTGCTGGACTCTTCGATTTTTAGCAGGTCTCGCAGAGAATGACATTTGCGCACTGGGAATGACAAAAAAAAAAAAAACTAGAACAACAAAGAACTGAGGGAAGACCTTTACAGGCAGAGTTAATCACAAGTACGAAGCCCTAGGTACTGGAAATAAGTTCAGGGGAACTATGGCTGAAGAACAATAAGGGAGAGAAAGATGGAAATGAGATTAGGGGGTGTGGGCAGGCTGCAGATTTTGCAGGAATGTATAGGTCATGCCAGAATAATTATGGTCTCTATGTTTTGCATTGATCACTTTTAGAGAAAGCTGTTATGGAAAAGGATGACTGGGGATGATGTAACCTATTGAGATATTTTGTTGCAGGTGGGAGTCAAAGTGTTCAATTTGCCCCTGGTCTTTTCTTCTAGACTGTTACTTACTCAAAAATGATTCCTTTGGTGTCTTCCACAGGAGTTACTTCCTATGTGGACACACTAAGTTCACTCATTCCTAGGAATGGTCATAGTCAGGAATGGGAGTTGCGGGACCAAAACTGAAATATCTTGAAGACGATAATACCATGGTTTTGACATGTAGGACTGGGGCGGGCTGTCTAGTCCTGACTTGAATATATACAATATTTCTAGGGGCTAGTAGATTTGATGGAAAGAGGTAAGAATAGATGAAAGACAACTGAATATGATTTCCTCAGAAAAGGGGGTTAGTACAAGCCTGGGTATCTTCTAATTGCAGACTCTTTGGGGTGGGCTCAGAGAAAGCATATAGATCATAAGCTTGTGGGCACAGAAGTAAAGAGACCCCAAAAGCCAGATCTTAAAGGCCCTGCTAGGCCATGTGTTTTTGGAGTTTGGGACATCATCCTAAGAAAAATAGAAAGATTTTTCAGAATTTGGATGGGTGTATTGTAAGCCAATATACAGCTACTTAGGAAGGGATCTGTTGTCTATGTCAAGGGTAGAAATGGTTCCCTGTCCCTAATACAGACTCCATTCACTGAGCTGAGGAGGGAGAGGTACAGGAGAAAGTGAGCTTGAAGGGCATGGAATGAGTTGAGTTTATGCTCAGGGATAAATGTTTATGGGTCCCCCCTCTCCAGGTGAAGTCCTGCAGGAGGCATGCAGGTTCTTTCTTACTGGCTCACTGTCAGTATTCAGTGGAAGCCAAAGGCCACATTTTGAAATGTAAATTTTTCCTGGAGTGATGACTCCCATAGCCTGTTTCTCAAGATGCTGGGCAGTGGTAGCTAGCCACTGCTCCCAGACAGTGCTCTGGGGTGTGTTGTTTCTAGTATTTATTGGTCTATTGTGTTTTTACATCCCCTCATGTTTGTAGACGGCCTCACTATGTCTCCTCTACACATACAGCTATGCTTTCTCATGGCATTTAATAATGAATATGAGAGATTCCGTACTTTTATAAAAGTAGGTTTGAATTAAATGAAGTTTGCCCACCTGTAAGCTAATACAGGTGTTGTAGACATGGTCGGCAAGTTAGGTTATAATAAGTAGGTTTTCTGCTTATGGTGTTGCTTATTGGAATGTAACCCCATGGTAAGTCAGTGAATAGTTGTGCATAGCCCAGAAAGGAACTAAACCGTAACTTGCAAAAGTAAAATTGAGGACATAAAAGTTCATGGAATTATTCTGCAAGAGGAGATGGGAGAAGGCTGAACTCTGAAAAGTCCTGACACTGAGAAGCCAGGAGAGAAAGAAGACCCAGAGAGGGTGATAGAGAAAGACTTTCTGGACATGGAGAAGCCTTACTAAGAGTCAGAGTGCTTTTAGAAAAGGCAGGTATTTTTAAAATGGAAAAACTGCAGTTATTACCTATATGAATTAAGCCTGCATCACCTTTAGAGAATCTTGTCTCTTTGGCCAAGAGGCCAACTGATAAAATTTTAAGTGGAAAGAAAGTATGAAACTCATAGGGAAGAGTAGGTTTGTTTTAACATGTGCATTGCAGACATGAGGGTATCTGACCACTATGGGTAAGTGATTAAGTTACTATTGCCTTTAGTGAGCCCCACAGATTTCTTTCCCTCCATCAATATAAAGCTTTTCAGAAAATACAAGTTCTTAGAACATCTTTAAATTTTTTTACACTTATTTATTTAATATATATGTGTGGGAATGTGAAGGTCAGAAGACCACTTGCAGGATGTTCTCTCCTTCCACTGTGGGGTCCAGGGATTAAGCCCAGGCCATCAAGCTTGGCAGCAGGCTTCTTTACCCACTGAGCCATCTTGCCAGCCTGGGAGAACATCGTTAATAACTGTTTACTTAGATTAGAAAATGTGTAAGTTTAGTTTCCCTAAGAAGCAGGTTGCTATAAAAGAAATTTTCCAACACTTCTGGCTATTAATTTAGATCAAGTATTCATAGAACTAGAGCTATGTAACTGCATATTCAGGGGAATAGGAGGTGCGACTCTGTGAGCACGTTCAGAATTCTATCAACAAGCAAACAAAAAACCCCACAACAAACTATTTTGAAGGATTCCACATATTTTCCAAAGCTTTTTAGTCATCAGTTTTATCCTTGGCGCTTCCTGCCAGTTATCCTTTTATGAATTCGAATCTTGATGTTTCTCTTTAAAATGGATGCCTGGCTTATAATTAGAACTCAGTTATGTCAGGGACTGGTCAATGGTATGTTTTTGTAACTTTTGATCCTTTCACTCTACAGTGATTTAGTGTAAAGGATTGTCCCAGACAGTTTGCAGAACAGAGCACCTTGCATTTCAGTGCTTTAGAAACACCAACACACTTATACGTTAGTCTGGGATTAGTCTGTAATTTTTGCCTAAAGTGATTATAACTGAAATAATTTCTCATAAGGTCCTGCACAAGATCTCCAGTGCTCTCGGGGTTTGAGGATTTGAAAATTAAAAGAAACACTCTAGTCCGGGACTTTTAGGATTACCATGCTGTGGTATACTACACTTTCATAATACTGTGAGAGAAACGTGTCAGAGGCCTTTGCTTTACACCAGGCCCATCCAACTAACCAGGCTAAACAAGAGCAGCCAGTTGTACTAAGTATCAGCAATCAAATTGAACTCTATCAGGGCCCACTGTGTTTGAGCCATCATCGAAGGATGTCTTGTCATTCCTGGAGAGACACTGGATCAGCAGTGAGCATCCTTTCATACTCTGCTTTGGTTTTTCTGCCTGTAGAGCACAGCTCCACTACAAACTCCTTAGCATCTTTTTTATATCTTTCTATGATGTTTGACTCAGGGGTAGAGTACTTGCCTAGCATGTGCAACACATTGGGCTTAATCCTGTGCACTATAGGAAAAAGAAAAAGGAAAAGAGAATTCAATGAGATGCTGCCTAATTTATGAGTCATTGATTTAAAAAAAAACCTTCTTTGCATATCTTAAAGTGTTACTTTTCAACATTCAGATGTAATTTATGAGTTAGTTTTAGAACATTTGCTAAGCATAAAACCAGGCAGTTTCAAAGTCCACAAAGAAATAATGGAAGTAGAGGGAGGAGGAAAGGAATCAGTGTATAAAGTAGGAGGACGCCGCTTCAGAGCATACACAGCTCAGACCAGATGCTGCCTCTGCTTCTGAGACCTCTGTGAGGGCCACTGTGCTCTCTCCGCATGGCCAGCTTGGCCATCGTTCAGTTCAAATTCCACTTTTGAGTTCCAACAATTTTTCAAGAAATGTAGAGATAACAGGAAGAACATCAGATAGCCAGAGTTTCACAGGGTGTGCTACTGGAGAGCCTCCGCTTGCTTTATTGTCTTTGGCTATCAGATTTTAATTCTTAAATTGGAATTCTTTGACTTGAAGGGCAGTTTAGATTGTGGAACAGTTGGAGGGTGTTTGTCTTTGGTCTGCTTTTGTTGCATTGGGGATCAAACCCACGGACTCATGCCTGTCAGACATGGATTGTGTCACCGAGCTACACCCCAGCCTTAGACTGCAGAATATTTGTTTATTTATTTATTTATTTATTTGAAAAAATATTTTAAAACTTTGCTTAAGTGACCATAGACTAAATGTTACAAAAGTGAAAAATATTAGCACTCTATTAAGAAGAGTAAATTTGAATTAGCCAACTCCATGCATATTCTCAGTTAAGCAACTATACAAATACCTTTTTTACCATTTTGTTTATATAAGGATAAGGGCAGTGTTTGCATACAAATACAATACAAAGATTCTGACCCCAAACATTAGACTACAAATAATTTCAAAATTTAAAAATAGTAAATATATTTCAACCAAAACCACTGATTTAATTTCATGATTTTTTTAATCGTACCATAGCATGGTTGGTCTTTAGTTTTAAAAAATACTTTTTATATTTATTTATTTATTCTGTATACGTATGCATGCATATGGAGATCAGAGGGCAACTTTCAACAGTTGATTCTCTTTCCACCTGATAGGTCTCAGGAATAAACTCAGGTAGTTAGCCTTTGGAGGAAAGAACCTTCACCCACT